AAAGAAAGGAGGGAGCAGTCTAACCCTCTATATCTACCACAGTTTGAGCCACCCTGATACAGCCCTACTTCTACACCATATCATCTGACATTGCCATAATACAATTCGGTGCCCCCACCATACAACTAGGTGCCGCCACAGGGCTGCCTGGCTCATCCCCAACATAATACAGTCCCTCTTCTATGATACTCAATTCCATCTATAATGGACTCAGACTACATTGAGAGGTACAAGAGATTAAATTTATCTATCTTTGTAAGGGCATCCTCCTTCTAAGAGGTCAAATATTGGTTAGCAGAGACATAGAAGACATTCGCAACTCTTAGAGCAGTTTCTGAACATAAGGTTGTACTTGCCACCTAAATGCTCGTAGGTGAGGCAGGTCGCCGGTGGCAGTTGAAGCAGACCACCCTGCCCGTTTCAATCACTTGGGAACAGTTTTTGGTAGCCTTCAATGCAGAGTACCTTTCAAAGATTTTTCAACATTTGAAAGAAATGAAGTTTGCACACCTGGTCCAGGGCGATATGACAGTGTTAAAGTATGTCAGAAGGTTCCTAAAGTTGAGCTGGTATTGTTGTGAGAGTATGATGGATGAAGGCAGAAAGACAAAGAAGTTTAAGTGGGCATCCGTTTTGAGATCAGACAACAACTGTATATGTTTGAGTTCAGCACCTACTCAACAGTTCCAGCCAAGGAACAATTGGTAGGGAAAAGCCTTCGTATCTTCCCTCCAGTAGTGGGCAATTCCAGATTCTCAGTTCCACACTGCAGACCAGTACCTACTACACCAGTTTAGCAAAAAAAAAGAAACCTAGACTTGTGACTCAAGCCCCTTTTTAGGCCCCAGCAGTAGGATGTGGTAAGATTTGTCAGCACTGTGACAAAGATCATGGAGACCGACCCTGCTATCGTCTCAACAATACTTATCACATATGTGGAAATGCCTAATACTATGCGAAAGAGTGCTCATGAAATCAGAATCAGGTCAAACTTCTCATATAGGGCAGAACTTACACTCTCATCCAGCTGGATGCTGAAGCCAACCTATATGTGATACATGATATGTACACTATCTATAACCACCTTGCATATATTTTGATTGATACTGGTACTTCACATTTTTTTGCAAAAAATTTAAATGTGTTACCTGAAAATCTTGATTCTGTGTTATTTGTGTCTACTACTGGGTGTAAGACACTACTAAGGGAGGTCATATATGAAGTCAATATTGTAGAGATAGCTAATAGAGAATTGAGTATAGACCTTATAGAAATAGACACATAAAATTTTGATGTAATTTTGGAAATGAAATTATTAGCAGCATTTTACGCTACCGTAGACTGTTTCCATAAGAAGTTGGTATTCAATCTTTATAATAAAGAGTCATTCACAAATTAATAAAAGTGTTAGATATTTTTTTCTCATAATAATTGCATCGTTATATGATGCGTTAATTTGGTTATCTTTTCTACATTAGACAAAGTTAAGAAAGAAATTTGCATTCAAGATATCCTTATGATCTGAGAATTTATGGATGTAGTTTTTACTAAACTACCCGAACTATCAGTGGATAGAGAAGTCGAATTTACTATAAATTTTCTGTTTGACACCCAACCCATCTTAGTTTTCCCTTACCATATGAATCTGGTAGGGATGGAAGAACTGAGGAAACAAATCAAAGAATTATAGGATAGTGGGTTCATCCTATACAGTATATCTCATTGGGGTGTTGGAGTCATATTTGCAAGGAAGGGGATGAATCCCTTAGGTTGCGTATTGATTGCAGGAGATTGAACAGAGTCACAAT